TTTTTTCGTGAAAAACTATTATATTGTAAATTAAAGTGTTCACCACCACGTAATCCTAATAGGATTGCATTAAAAAAAAACACCCAATATAATAAACCAGTTGGAGTATCCCCAGTCATAATTGGATGATTCATAATATGTAAAATTTCCTCTTCAGTAAAACCTATACTTCCAGTATGTTCTGCAAGACCTTGATTAGCTAGATTTTTTACTTTACCATTAAAAACTTGCCATAGCTTATAATATACTTTTTTGTCTAAAATATTGATTAGCTTAGGAAGTGTTGATTTTTCATTCAAATGTCGATTTAAAGTATAGAGACAATTATTAACTGAGGAAGCATGATACTCAGTTCCATCTTGCTTTTTTATTGAATGAATAAAGCAACATAATTGGTTTTCTAACTCTTCTTTTGTAGTTATTTCTTCAATGAGACCTTGATATTTTACATCTAAACGAAATTTTTCTAAGGCTCAAACCAATGTTGATGTTGAATAGCTGGTATTTTTACTATGATTATTAATGATAAGTTTGTTAAGGTCCTCTTCTATAGGTTTCTCATAAGTAAAATTTGCCTAAAAATATAAATTATTTTAATATATTATTAAATTTATAAAGAAAAAGATAAAAAAATTATTTTACCATTTTTTGTGATTTTTTAAAAGGTAGTTCCATTTTTTTTTAAAAAATTTAGTTTGAAATAAACAAAAAGGAAGAGAATGATAAATAAAATAAATTAAAAAATGATGTATTTATACTTTCCTTACATTATAGTATTTAAGTCAACATTATAAAATTACACGATAATATCATTATTGTGCTTTGCGTTGATAAAAATCAAAATTATTGTCTAATTTTGATTTTTATCAATGCAAAGTATAATAATATAATTATAAATCTCCATTCGTCATAAAAATGTGAAATGATAACTATGTTGTTTGAAGTGAAAGTCATTTGCTAAAAATGTAATATGTCACGAAGAGTTTACAACTGAATTTGCTGCCTGATTTGTAAACTTTAATTCTAGGAATTCTTTTTATTTTCTTCAGCCAAAACACTTGCAATAATACCAAAAAATACTTCACACTGAGAAGTTTCGCTATTCTGCAGATTTGATTTTGGATTTCTAAGATTAAATCAACTATGAAAGAAAATTGTCCGCTTTATCTTTTGTTTTCATAATTACTGAACTGTCTTCTGCTTTCATTTCTTACTTGTGACGCTTAAATTAAACAATTCATTTATTTGACTTGTAATTCTTGATTTCCCTATTAGACAATAGCTAACTGTTTCTCTAACTCTTTAATTTATTTTGTTATTATTATAAATTTTTTTATTTCTTGATCTAATTAATATATATATATAAAAATTGGGTGACCGTATCAAATTTAAAATTCTATATTACGAGAATCTAAAAAATTTTTTTTGCTCAGCCTTACATATTTATTATAATCTGATTGTACTTATTGAGAATATGAATTGAATTTGTTAGTTTATAAATCTCTTAATATATTTTTATGTGTTTTAAGAGTTCTGATAGATGTTGAAATTAGTATTTAATATCACAAAAACTATATATTTTTAATTCTATTATTCGAATAAAATATTTATCTATAGGTAATATAAAATTTATTATGTTTAAGGCTACTATTAGTTTCTGGTAAAATGCTATTTGATGAAGTATTAGTTTTGTTAAATATCATATTTAATGTTTTTAATTTATTTTTGAAAAGGAAACTTTTTTTTAACTGACATGTAATTGTCAAACAATAGTTATAGTTTAACTATTCTAT